GTAATAATTGGTTGATTTTTATGTTCATTCCAATATGAAAAACAAACTAAAAATATCTTTTTATCTCCCCTTGTACTTTCATCAGCCATTATACTATATGAATAAGAAGGTGAATTTGATTCACCTGGCCGATTTTGTTGAAGTGATATTTGAGCAACTTCTTTATTCCAACGAGAAAGAGTTTCTGTTAAGAGCCAACAATCTGGTTTCTACCTGATAAAAAAAGTGGCTATTGCTTTAGTGCATTTGACTGTCACAGAATGAGAAATTGTCCCAAAGTTGCTTATATTAGTTGTGAGATTAACAAATTTAGGTGTGTATTCATGATTATTCCATTTTATTAATTTTTTTGCTACCATTTGAAATTGATTTTTTGTAATTTTTTTTGATCTTTGAGCAATAGATTGAATCTTAGAAATATAATTTTTTTTGCCACCTCTGCCTGCACAAGCTTCATATAGAATGATCTAAGCTGATGGTTCAATGATTCTAAGGACTTTTCTAATTTATCATTTTTAGTTTTTATTTTTTTTACTTTATTTTGGAAAGCATTAGCAGATAAATCATGTTTAAAGAGACCACTGGTTACGAATTCATTTGCTTTATTTTGTAAGTATGGTGATAATATTTCACCTTTTGTTTTACCTTTAAAATATATCATTGTACTAATTAAGTGGTCTATTTTTAAGATTTGATTATCCGGTAAGCTTTTTATTTTGTCAATTAATGCATCAAGCTTTTTTTCAACAGTACTCTGTCGTTTTGAGTTAATTGAATCGATGTGGTCTCATAGTCTTATTAAGTCTTCTTGGTCCAAGAAATCAATGATTTCATAGATGTTAATATTCTGTACTTGAGGGTTCATTGAATTAATGTAGTCTTGAGCTTTTTTTAACTCTTCCTGATTCAAAGAATTAATGATTTCATAAATGTTACAACAACATTTTTTAGACTCATGATCTTTAGTAATTTTTTGTATTTGTTTTCGTTTCTTTGTATAGCAAGTCATTTTTAATACAATTGAAAAAAATATTACATTTATTTTCAAAATATATACAAGTATTTTTATTACATTGAACTCATTAGACTGAATAATAATATATTTTATGCTAACAGTAAAATTCTCTATAATATCGAATGATTGCTAGCCATAACAGAAATATTTTGTATAGAGAACATTAAGGCCATGCAAAGTTAATTGATTAATTTTCATAACCCGTCTGGGTCAAAATTTGGAAACCTAAAAAAAATAATTTTATAAATTTTAATAATGGAGTATATGAAATTTAAACAAAAAAAATCTAATTGGGTCTATTTAAAAGGTAGCAAAAAAATTAATAAAACAGAATAATTATGAATACACAGCTGAATTTGTTAATCTCGCAATTAATATAAGCAACTTTGGAACAATTTCTCTTTCTGTGATGGTCGAATGCACTAAAGCAATAGCCACTTTTTTTACCATGGAGAAACAGATTGTTGGCTCTCAACAGGAACTCTTTCTCGTTGGAATAAGGAAGTTGCTCAAATATCACTTCAACAAAATCAGCCAGGTGAATCGAATTCACCTTCTTATTCATATGGTATAATGGCCGATAAAAGTACAAGAGGAGATAAAAAGATGTTTTTAGTTTGTTTTTCATATTGGAACAAACATAAAAATCAACCAATTATTAA